GGCGCTAGGGGGAAGAGAAGGGAAAGGGAAGGACCTGCACCTCCTGCTTACGGTACTTCTTAGGGGGGCTTGGGGAAAGGACAGCCGCCGAGGACGGCTCCTGCTGCCGTAGCGAGTTTCGTGTAATTTTCCTTTTAAAAGGGGAAGCAAAGCCACTCCAGTGTTTTTAACGTCGAAATTGCCCAAGGAAGGGAACGGATTCACATTAGTTTTTAGTGATAAGGTTCTGTTTTTGTTTTTTGTATTTGTGAAATAAAACACAGAAAGAAGCAATTGAAAAAAAATGTTATTGTCCACTAGTTGTAGTCAGCAAGTAACCACTGCCTATAAAGCAAGTATTCATAACGTGATATATATATATATATGTAAAAATAATATTAAAATACTCTAGTTGCACTTTTTAAAGGATTGACGGGTATTGTTCTTGTATATTCTGCAGTTAGTCCTGATTTCTGGAAGTGTGATGCTACTGTGATTGAGGAGTTACCATACTAGTAAGCAGAAGGATAAAATAATTTTATGATTTGAGAATCTATCCATAATTTACATGCAGTACACATCTCAGGTTATGTTATAGTCTAGTAAGTGAAGGGGATCAGATTAGTATTTAATACATAAATGTCAATTAATGTTCACATTTCCACAAAAACTGATCTCTGTAAAAGGCAAGAGCTAAACTGACCAAACCTGTAGAAGATTTTACTTTCAAGAGTCTGGAAACTGTAAAGTTCAAGATAAATAAACTGAGCTGAATATCTTAGCTAAGCTCAAACAAACATCTTGATTGCCTTTTTAACAATTACAGAGCAAATACATTTTAATAACAACATACTGTGTTATCAGTAGCTAGAACAAATTATTCAGATGTACACAGAATAAACTGGCATTTATTGTGAGGGTTTTCCCAGGTCAAAGCTCTTTCTACTTCTCCACCTTAGCAGTTTGATAAAGTTAAGACTCGCGCTGAAGACTTTGTCATGATGAAAAACCATTTTGTAGAATGTATCAATGGGTAGATCTCCATTTGGATCTGCATACTTCAGAGTTGTCATCGGAGTATACAAGGTGTTGGTCTGATGGCGAAAAGGCGGATTCTCTGCAAGAATTATCTTTACTGTATGCTGTCAAGAACGAGAAAGTAAATCGTTAAAGAACTTTGAAAATCATTTTTTTTAATTATTATTTTGATAAGTTAGGCAGAGGAAGAGTGGGAGAATAAATTTTAGAGTTGTGTAAAACCCTGTATGAAATTTAATTAGAATTTAATTAGAATTGTTTCTTAGAACAATTTTAAGCCAAAAGAAAAACTTCTTATTTCTTCTTAATCCTATTTCTGTTCATCTAGACTATGGTGATGACACCTTACACCTAAGTGTACTGAGTAGTCCTTCAAGATTATCCATGTAGGCCCTCAATAGATAGATACCTCCTTTTACAGTTCACTGGAAAAGGGTGAGAATGGTGCACTTTGCAACAAGACCCAGGAAGCTTCAGCTGACACCCAAGCTATCCCTTAGCAGCCAGCACCTGAAGTCATTGTTCTCTCCCCCAACTTTCCAGACTTTGCTTCCTGCAGAAAGCCTCAAACAACGGAAACTATATCCTTTATTGTACCTTACCGGTTTCACAACTGTCTTTTAAACTCTTTTGTAATTCTTAAATTAAAACACACACATCCCCTCTCCCCCCACCCCCCCCCAAAACAAAAAGTTGATGAGTTACCTCTGCAACATCCTCAGCACTTTGCCCCAGGCTCTGGAAAATTTGTTTGTAATTTTTAAGGTAAATGTTAGTAAACATCTCAGCTGTTTCCTTGTCTGCAGCTGAAAGATCCATTTTCATTCCATCTTCAAAAACTTTTCTTTCAAACTCTGTGACCACTGGGCCGGGTTCAATCAGACTTAACCTGTTCAAAGAGCAAAGATACACTGGTTATAGAGTCTTCTGCATGGGAAATACATGCAGCTATCCTTCTTAAAGGATATTGAATAGTTACAGTACCCGTTAGCAAGCAATATTGAATGGTACACTCTGTAATGGTGATCCATACCACATTTCTGGCCTGCAGCTCTTACCCATCCGCGTGTAGATGTAGAAAAAAAGGATAATTTAATTTCTGGGAAGCGTTCTAACTTAGTTTGTGGCAGAACTGAGTGCAGTTGTTACCTGCTGTCTAACAACTGTGGAATCTGAGGATGATTAAGCCATGAGATCTCCTCAAAGATTAAGAAAAGCAATTTAAGGATGATTACAAAATTCATTACCTTCCGGACAAAATCCTACATAGATTTCTTTACCATAGCTTTCACATGATAATACTCAAAGTAAATGAAAAAAAAAAGGTGAGGGAGGGAGGGGGGGGGAAGGAAACTGCCCAAATAGATTTTCTTTGTCAAGCCTTCAGCGTTACATAATTGCAGAGCACTCTATAAAATTATATAAAATACAATATGGAGATTTTTGCTGTGGATGGACAGATTTTGGCTGCTGCCTTACCAGATATCTGGAAAATCAGATTTTGATCAGTAATGTATTATAGCAAATCACTGAAATACGTACACTTACTGACCAACTGTTTTCCATTTCTACTCTCAGGTAGTACTTACCTCCAGCCACCATGCTTATGAAACAACTCTTTTGGATAGGACTTTTTCGTAGAGATGACTTCTGCTCAGGCTCTTCTTTAGAACTACTAACCTTAGAAGCTACTGACCTTGACAGCAGAATTCCAGCTGCTGCTGGAATTACAGCCTTTTCGCTTGCGTAATATAATCATTTAAGCTGTCAGTCTCCTCACTGGGCCTTGGACTTTTTCCATTCTACTTGCTGGGCACCACGTTTTGTTTGTTTACCTCCTTTCCTCTGTATCTCAGAGTCTTGAAATCTTATAAATTCTATCATACCCTGTATATCATTACATCATGACTTTTCAGAGCTGGGTGCAAAACGCCCATTTGGATGCAGCTTTGTCTCTGGAATCACGTGAAAGCAGCTGTCTCTTCTCCCACAGCACAAGGGCTAAATGCTCCGGCATACACAGGTGCACTGGATGTTTAACAATTGTTGGACTTCACACATACAAAGTAGCAGCAAAGTTTCATCCTGTAATATGCCAATGTGAATGTATAGGTGACAAATCAGACACCTAAATCCCACAGGCCACCGACTGGACCATTCTCTTAAATACTGTCTTAAACAGTAAGAAAATACTACGCTGCAACACTAAATTGTTCCTTGCCTTCCTTTTACCTCCAGCCCCTAGGGGTTATCTCAGTCTGTGTGCCCTTCTGATGAATTTCCACTGCATTCTCTCTGTTATGATGCCCTTGAACTTTTTAATCTTTGGATTGTCTAAGAAATAAAGACTCTTATCCTTTCTAAAGGAAAGTATTACAGGTTGGTATTATAATTCTATTCAAATGGTATCGTATGCAAGAATCGGTATTTTTAAGAAGTACATTGACCTCTATTTTGTTCAAAGCTAAACAGCCTTACGCTATTCAAGATAACATGCTTCGTTAGCATCTAAGCCTTTTTAAGGGTTTGTTTCATTTGAAGGATGAGAACATTTCTGTGCCATTTGTGGTGTACAGTTGCCATGGGTTCCTCAGTTTGTTTCTCCTAGACAGTAGCAAGCTTAAAACATTTGTTTGCTAGCTCTGAATACATTTTAAAACTAAAATATAGTTCACATCTGTGGATCCATACTTACTGGAGCTTAAACTTGAGTGCCTGTATAGCTAAGCTTTCGCAGAATCCTTCCACAGCAAACTTAGACGCAGCATAAACATCATTAAATAAGATACCTGATGGCACAAACAAAACATCCAGAGAATGTGATTGTATGCGACATACTTATATTGTAGTTCTTTGTTATACTAATCTTTTAGTTTAAGAACCACTTGTATTTTCCCCAAATTTCTACAGTCTTGCTGGGAAAACATAAAAAAATCCTTGTTTATGTCAATCTAGTGAGCTAGTTCTAGCAATATTAAATATTGCTGATTTTTGTCACGTGAACTCAAAATTACTTATTCTAGAAAAGGGTACTTGACGAGGTCTTTTCCCCCTCCTAGTTGATGCTGGGGTCTTTTTGAATTATACTAAATATTTTTTAGCCTAATGTACGAAGGTGTCTATACATACAATACCATCTGCATTATTCATCAGCAAGACTTTAATAGGCTGTAGAGAAACACAGAAGCTGAGTGCAATGCAGGGGATAAGATAATGCAAGAGATCCAGCTTGCATCTGAGGGACTTTGAAAAAGCAGGACATCAATCCACTTAGATGGAGAGTAAATACTGTATTAAACTATAACAACTCTTGCAATTTGACCTGGAACTCCTGCTCACCAGATTCATCCAGGCAAGATCCTTGCAGTTACAGTAATCAATGGGAACAAATAGGGTTACACTGGTTGGAAAGCAAGAGTAGGAGCCTGGTTACTTGTTGATAAATTAGACACTGCAGAGCTTTATGAGAGGGAAAACTTGTAAAAAAAGGTGATAGAGTTGTCCAGGACATGATCAGATTATATCACATATCTTTGTGCAAAGTGTAATAAACTCGTTTGCCTTTTCTCCATAATCTTTCCCAACAGGAAAGCGAAAAATAATACTGTTAAGTCCTGTTTTCCAGAGAATCTCTAATAATTGTGTTTAGATTAAAAACTGATAGCCTTATTCCCATGACAAAAAAGACAATCCACTCTGCAAGTTTTGTTGTTAAAATGTCTCGAGAGTAGTTGCATAGTAAAACGCTACTAAGATACATTAAAAAAATCAGATCTAAGTGCTGTACTTCTCATGGTTGGAACTGGAGCATTACAGAGCGCAATAGTTTGATAGGCTAGTTCTTACGTTTTTTCAGGTGAAAAGAAGTAAGCTTTAGATTTTGAATACTGAACTCTTAGTTTAAAACAAACAAAAAAAACTTTGCCTTGTATTCCCATAACACTGCTTATTATAACTATATGCCCGCTCTTTCTCTTCTTCATATCAGGTAAAATCTCCTTCAGGAGTCGAACCAGTCCAAAGAAGTTGGTATCCATCACAGTTTTCATTTCCTCTATGGTCTGACATTCAATAGGTCCAATGAGTCCCATTCCAGCATTGCTAACTGCACAAAATGGAAGACATGACAGCAAAAACCTCCATAAATATTAACTTGCAGTTTTTACTGGAAAGCATTTCAGAGTAAAATGAGAGAGAGAGAAATAAATAATTAAAATAAAAAAGAGGAGTTATTCTGTTAGTAAAGCTTTGCAAATATAATTGACTTTTTTTAATTTTAAATTATGGTGTTAATACAATTTAAACTATTAACTATTTAGCTCTTATCTGGTTTATTTCCGATTAGTCCTTTTTCCTTAAGTTACAAAAGAATTACAGGGAAATGAGCAAAGAATGAACTACATTTGTTTACAATTCAGTATTAAGAGTTAGAGGCTACAGTCAATGCCCGTAGGAATGAACAGAAGTTTTCAGTTTATTCCAAATTTATAAGCGGGGAATGGTTGACAGAACAGGCATTCTGCAATGAAAGTAGCGTGTCAGATTAGAGTATAATCCAATTTGCAGAAGAATCTTGTTAATCACTGCTTTAGTGATTTATCAAAATTAAGGCAGATCCATGATTCTCTTAGATGAGATTTAATCATTGATGGGGTAAGCAACTTCCATCTTACTAAGATATTAGCGTTTATTTTTACCAAAGTGGTATGAAAACATTTCTTGCTAAACGATGTGTAAAATACAACTGTAACTGTCAATACAAATTCGGAATACCCTTCCTTTCTTTGCATTTATTCTTTTACTTGCTAATTCCCATAAGCCATTGCTTGCTTACTGTAGGGATCTATTGCTATTGCTTTCTTAGTAAATAGGGCTGTGCTTCATCTAAAGGGCAGAAACAGTCTTGTATATGAAGACGGGGATTTAGACTTACTAAAAAACTGTATCACCTTACCCAGAAAACTTCTTTTCTGTAACCTCATTTCTCCTTTGTAAACAAACAGAGGAAACAAATTTCCCTACTTCACAGCAGCATGGTGAGATTTAACCCACTCATGTCTGCATAAGCTTTAAGAATCTTGAATATTCAAATACACTATGTAAATGCTATTACTTAGATCATCTAAAAATTACACTAATGAAACTTCTCCAGAGTATATGAGAAAATTTTAAACAGAAAACTGATGTCAGTTCATAGCCAACATATCCAATACTTGCCTAAGACATCAATCCTTCTGTCAGGGATACTATTCACACAAGTTTTAATGGACTGTTCATCGCAGACATCCAGCTGTTTAATTTCCAGGGTTTTGCCCAGCCTGCCACCTACAGCCTCCTCAAGCGCCTCTTTCTTGGCCAGGTTGCGCATCGTGGCATACACTGCAACATCCCAGGAGCAACAGTTACCAGAAATACTGCCACACAAAAGGTCGTCTTACTGAGTAGCATTAAAGAATATTGCTTTCACATCTATATCTTAAGTACCAGCAATATCACCCAAATAAAACCTGAAAGTAGAAAGAATATATTTTCAACATATAAATACTGTCACTGATTTCCCAGAATCTGGTTCTGAAACCACCAAGAAATATACAGGAGAATTAAACCACTATGTACAATGTAGAACTGTTAGCGTATAGGGATAATGCTGTCACCAAAACGTTTGATGATGGGTGCCAAAGTTAGGCTGCTAAGTCATTTTTAGGTATCTAAAAATAGATTTCAGATTCTATATGTGTTTTTTTTAAATGATAGTGAACATGTTTAGCAGAGCAACTGTAATTTTATGAAAAAGTGGAAGACAGCTGCTTCCTCCGGATGTGAAAGTGTTTACTTCTGTAAGTTACTTATCAAAATAGAAATTAGCTTTGTCATTATTCTGACCTAATTACCCTGACAACTATGAATCTGTGTCCAATCTCTTCTCAGTAAAACAGAGTGAGAATAACTGTGAGGAACTGAATTTCCACACATGCTGTATTCGCCTTGTCATCCATTTTCTGTCATAGCAAACATCCTATTTTGGGGCAGACAAGTAAGTCCCACCCCTTTTGCTCTGCCTCATTTGCCTATGCAGCACTGGAATAATGAAGTGTGCTTTAAGGCAAAAAACCCGCAAGTTTAAGAACCTTTTTCCTAAATCCATCTCTTTGTCCAGAAACTGGCGCATACATTTTGTTCAACAAAGGTTTTAGTAGCATCCAGCAAAGCTAGCTAGAGCTCTCAATGTATATCCAATGCATATACTGCAGACGTTTTCAATTATTTGTTTTTATACTACTGTCCTTTTTTTGTAATTGATTCACTTTAAGTAGGTATTCAGCCTCAATACAGTTACAGACGTAACATATGCTTACAGAAAACAGTGTATTGTTATTGCATTGTATCTTCTTGGGAAAAGGGGCAACTAACAAGAAAGGAGTCACTAGACCAAATACAATCACCTCTGTTAAATCGCTGAAAAAAAAGTGTCTACTTTGAATACCTTTCTATAAAGACAAATAACAGAAACATTACCTTTAAATCTTTTCTGTTCATCTCTTGCCATTTTTACAGCTAAAGCCAGTCCAATTCCTGAGGAACAACCCGTAATGAGGACATTTCTTTTTGCCATTCTTTTCACTGAGCGGTACAAGCAAGAGTTCTTGCAGCTCAGAGGAACAGCAGCCTAAATGTAGTAACAGCATAATGTCATCAGCCTTTAATGCTATTGCCAGCTTTCCTGAGTCAACAAATCTGAAAATGCACACCTGGACACTGCATGATTAAGGGGATAATCTCTATCTAGACAAAAACAGAAGCAGATGCTCCTGCATGAGCTTGTAATCTGCATTATCAATATGGAATAGCTATAATAAAGTTTTGTATTAAATGAGACATTCATAAACTGCATGGATATTTTCTAATAGTGGAATAACTGATTTGCATGCTACTGGCAGGGAAAGCCTTGCCCACAACTACAATCAGTCTGTAGTGTTGAGTCCTCCAGTCTTGCAAAGGGGAAGTAAACCGCACCCAGAACATGATCCCTCTGGTCAATGTGTTCAGGCTTCCTATGCTTACAGCACCCTCTTCTTTTTTCTGAGCAACAGAACGCTGCATGGATTTATTCCCAGCTGTCTTACTGACTATTATAGAAACGTTTGCATCTAGAAATCCTGATAGGCTTTATAGAAAAAGTAAATTGAAAAATGGGATGTGGATTTAGAAAGAGACAAGTCATTTAGACAGATGCTCACGTTTGTTTTTGTCCCTGTTTCCATCCAAGAAAGGTGAAAGTAAGCAAGCACATCAGCAGTGGAGAACAGCCAGGAAGACCTCAAACAGACCAGCTTTGCTACATCCTCACAACCACCGAAACCTCTCTGAACACGTTCTATTCACCAGTTGACAAGCTGTGAAAATAAAAACAAAAAACACACACACACACACACACACACAAGCCCTCCCTCCCCTCGCCCCCAAATTAGCATGATATCTGGCATGATAGATTAGCATGATATGTTTCAGCTTTGCAGAAAATATTCCATAAGCTTCAGATACAAACTCTGAATTAAAGAGGGGGCATTTGGACTGGCACTTTGGTGCAGTTCACCCTTAATACTCAATAGTCATAGACATGCTACAACACAGAGAAAATCAGTCTTTTGTGAAATTTATAACCTATCTTGAGCTACAGAAAAAGAATTATCTTAATATGCAATTAGCCTTCTGAATAGCATTCAGCAAACTGCTGTGCAATCAATTACACACAGAAAAATATGTTCCAAGAGTCCATAACCCCATGTCAATGCAATAGATTTCAGAAGAATGAACTCAGTGTGCCAGGGTTTCTGTACCTGCGGATTGGTGAGTAACTCAAGAAAAGCAGGACTCCACAGAACTGCTTAACTGCAGTTACAATGTTAAAAAAAAATTCCTGTTTTCCAAACAAATATATATACTTTGACAGCGTGACAAGTGGAACCATTAATTTCTCAGGCAAGCAACAAAATAATGAGACAGCATCTAAAATTAATGAGAAAGTGTAATTATGATTCCACTTATTTATCAGGTTTGACGAATGGCTTTACCAGAGAAAGTGATGTCCAGATAAACAATTTTAGTACAAACATTATTTAGCTGATTCAGTTATCAGGCAAAAATACTTCTGCTGCTCATGCACATTTATATTTAGTGCACTCAGGAGGGGCAAGCAAGGCTTTATGCAACGTTAGTGGAATGCCGCTAGTGTTGTGATGCAACTGTAATTAAGGATGGGTTACATTTTCCACGTGAAATCTTAGTTTGAGGCGCTTAAATATGTTTTTGCTCTAAAGGATCAGTCTGAAATTTGGTACACAGATTTCTAGCCTGAAGGCAAATTAATGTGTTTAAAGGGGAAAAAATACTTCTCAAAGCAGTTTAATATTTTTCAATTATTACGCTGGCCAACTTAACTCTGAAGTTTTGAATTTAGTATTACACAGAGAAACAAATGGCTTGACTTGAAACATACAATGTAGTTATTTTTATAAGTAAACTATTTTTTGCTACATCATAGTTTTCATAATGGTAAAATAAATAATGCGAAACTGCAGAAACATATACTTTAGATGAGCGTACCTTGACCTTGTCAAGGGTAGCAAAATGCGTGGCCAGTTTTGTATAACTGCCTAAAGTAGACCAGTTGCACTTGTGAAGCATGTTTACATAACTAGTGAAAGTGACCTACCTACTACAGAGCAGTTTGGCACACTTCCACCTGCACAGCTAGTTTCGCTGCCCAAGATACCCTCTTAACATACAAAACACATAATTCGGGCTTAATCCTTAAATTACACTGCATTCATTTCTGTTCCTCTTGCTCTATGTCAAATAGCTTTGCTAATATGATGTTATGAATTATGTATAACATGGTTTAATGTATGTAAATCAGGTTTGCATTAATTAGACTCAGATTTAAGCAGTTTCTAACTCTTTCGTAAATATAAAATGTTAAGGACTGGGGTCACAGCCAAAACATTTGTATTAGCTGAATGTGCAATACATTTGGAAAGCTGGAAATAAACATGTTTTGGATCATGTAGTTATGATGCCACTTTATCCAACGGTAGCTTTTATACAGACTCTTCAGGAAAAACAACATTAAGCTTTCTGGCCCTGTCCTGTATCCTTTTACATCTGAAATAAACCACTTAGAGCGAAGCAAGCAAGTTTTGCCAGAGGGTCTGCTTATGGTCTTGATCAAATCTGTGTCCTAGAACATCTTCCATACATGTCAATTTTAATAAGATATTGTTTCTGCACATTGAACGTGTACAAAAAGAAAGAAAATATTCCAGAACAAAAAATGTAAAAAAGGTAATATTATTGTGCTCTTAATTAGAAGTCAGACATGAAACACAAGTACATGGATTAAAATCCTAGTAAAGACGACAGCTGAAATTTATTCTTACAACTCAAGATATTTAAAAATAAACTTTATTTCTCCAAAATAAAATAAAAAGTGATTATATTAAGGCAATAATCTCAAAAATGTTTGGAAAAATAAAAAGGTTGGCATTTGTATCCGTACAAATACAATCATTATTTACAACTCTCCTATATTAAAATTTCCTCTTGAATGCAGTGCTACATTGCCAGCAACAGCTTTTGTGGGCTACTGTGTGTCCAGTGGGAAACATTCCTTCCCTCACAATTCTTGCCCCTGAAACAAAATATCTGTGATCAGGATCTTCCTTTAAACTTCTTTACTGAATTTATCAAATCTAAATACATTTGTATTGATGTTACTTTTCATTTTGAAGAATTCTCTCACAAAAATTAGGCAAACTAGCTGCAGATGGTCTCAAGTCTATGGTTTCTTTCTCAAATTCTGTTACCGAGGCTACAAGTATTTTGATTGAAAGTATTTTGATTACTGCTCTTGTGACTGAAATTAATTTTCTTCCAAAATCAGGATCGCTCAGAAAATTTTCAACATATATTAACCTCTAGCACTTAAGCAGGAAAACATTATGCAGAACAATTCAATAAGAATCCCTTTAAACAGTTGTACAATTTAAAGAAGTATTGTCTTTTGAACTGTCCTCTACAAGACTCAAGGTTACAATAAAATTTGACTAGATTACTGTGGTTAAGCTCCTAACAACTTCAGTTTATAACAATTCAGGAAATGTTTATGAAAACCCTATCAACGGTATCAAAGTGTTTCTGTCATGAGAGAGGGAAAAATAGTCTATGATTTCTACTGGGACAAATTGGGGAAAGTCTCATTAATATGAATATAATTATTATGGATTTACAATGATATGAGGAAAAAAATGCAGCCAAGCACATTACTGTTTTTTATTTTTAATTTCTAGGGGTTTGGCATGGTTAGAAAACAAAAACAAAAAAACCCAAGCTTACATGCTGGACTTAATTGTTTGCCAGTTCACTTTTACAAATAAAAAAAATAAACAAAACCCAAAACAACAACAGTGTTTGGAAATCAACAAAAAGGTCTCTCTAGGGTATGATCCATATCAGCTATGATTACATCAGCCAATACTATGACACAACAGAAGCAGATCTGTGAAGTAAACGAGTTTGTGAGGAGAACCTGTTGCCCATCCTACGTGCTTTTACAGGGGTTTTACTTCAGAACGGCTTATCTAGTCCTGCAGACCTACTGACCATTAGTAGCTGAAACTCCTTCAGTGCACTCAGAGTGCATCTTCCAGGTTATTTTCATCAGAAAACAATCTGGTTCATAATGCTTAGATAGGGTTCACTCTAATATCTGGCAATATCACCTTATGCTACGGCTCCTGTTAATTATACATACAATAGTCATTATATTGTACCTGTTCACTCTTAGCTAGGTGCTTATTCTTTAAGGGGAATGCTATTTATAGAGTACACAGACATCTACAGGTAGTAAATAATGAGCTTAAGGCTAATGAACAAAAGGCTATTATACTAACTTCTAATTATTTTTATACTATGTATTAGATGCATCATCTTCCTCATAGCTTTCTGGATTTTAAAATAATACTAATACACAACAAAAAAGTATGTGTTTGTGCAAAAATATATATTCTTTAAAACAGTGAACTATAAAATGCACAGCTATATGTACATTAATTGGAAGTGAATTGCAGTGACATACCCACCCTTTATATGACACAGAATCCTCCTATTGTCCTTCCTGTCTAACTCTTTTGCATAGCAAAAACTAAAAAAAATCAAAAAACCAAAAACCCAAACCTGTGGTCCTGTAATATACAGGAAGTTACATAAGATTAATGTTTTAGGCCTTCTGGGCCTAAATTTATATGAATTCCTTTAGCTGTTTCTTGTTTCTCACTAAGTACAAAACACAAAGTAAAAGAGAATAATATAAAACCAGAATTGGATAATTAGTTTCACTTTCTTCATTACTATTGGTAAAAGATCCTCGGAACACAAAAGATTGGTTTTTTTGTGCAGAACTTACCTTAAATATTTTATGTATGACAGGTTGTTAAATCAACTTACCTTGTCAAGCAGCTCTTCACTTGTCACACGAACCATTTCATCTCTGACCTGAAGTTGTTGCTGCAAACTACTAACAGCATCTCGAGCCTCTTCTAACTCTCTCTTCACCTGTTGCAACCGTCCACTGAGATGGTATTCTGTTGATATCTGCCATTTTGTTTGGTCTTTCTGATGAGCAATCTTCTCAAATTTAAGAAATATGACAAAAACATGGTAAGATTTACTTTATATCAATCTTTGTCAATCTAAATACTTACCCCATCTCACTTCATATATCAATTTTCAAACTTACTATTAACACAACTTTATTTCTCATTTCAGGAAGAAACTGTGGCCACATAAGATTAATTTGCCATAAGAAAAAGTCCTCCACCATTGTTATTTAAATCAATTTGTAATCAGTAAAGAACTCCAAATTCCTACAAAAAAACGAAAAAGTCATTCTGAATGTTCAGCAAGATTTTTCCAGTTCCTTTATTTGGAATCCTTAAAACTTCCAAGGGTAGTAGAGTTCTGTTTTGTAACAAGATCTTCATCACAGATTAAAGCAAAGCAAGAACTATTCAACAGAAAAATCTGGCACCTGGTTATTTTATGAGTCCCAAAAGGGCAGAGTGGCCCAGGAGACCCCTGTCAGAAAACAGATAGCAATTCCTATCCTGCACTAATACATCTCCCGAAATAAGCAGGCAAGCAAACTTATTAAGGGGAAAAGAACAAGACTAGACTACACACACACACACACCAAGTGCGCACACACAGATCCTTTCCCCAAATACATTGAGTAGATAGAGTGAGTAATTGAGCGTTTAGAAATCCCTATATAGAACTAGCACAGGAAGTTTCTGTGGAAGATTGGTCAGTTTGCAATAAATAATTGTGCTACTAATGGAGAAAGTTTTTTTTCCTTATAATATGCTTATACATATTATTTTTAGACAAAGAAGTAACCATATAGCATTCTAAATGGAGCCAGATCCTCTCTGTGATATATTACACTTCTTTGTAGAATGCTTCTGAAATCCAGTATTTTATCTACTTAACTATGCTGAGAATAATTTTTAAATTCCATATCCTTCATCCCAAGTCTCTCAAGGAAGATGACCGGAATAGGTATATTTTCACAGCCTTGCCTATACCATTCCTGGGCCTCTCTTTTTTTCCTGGTATTCCTTAAAAAAAAAAAAATAATGACAGTGCAATTTCCTGAATGCTATGAGAACCCATGCTGACCCCAGGTATGAAACAAAACCTTACCTTTATGTAATAGGCAGGAAAAAAATCTTTGTAACGGAGATCTCTGCAAGGTTACTTTTAATTAAATGCATAAGCATGTTAGTTTTTTCAGTTCAGAAGTACGAGCTCTAAGGGTCTTATAGTCTGATGGAGAGATTTTCAGAACAAATCTCATTTGAAAAACTGCTTTTTCAAAACTGGACATGAAAGGGTGATTAAACAGTGACTTATTTAAGTCTGTATTAATAATACACTGTCAAATTCCAAGACCTGGAAAAATGGTGATCATTTAAGACTTAAATCTCAAATAGGCTGAAAAAAAATCTAAATCAGAATACATGTTCTCTGGTTTTATTTTCCATTTCCTAAAATTCACCAAAAAAAAAAACTGTCTCCAGAAGCCAAGGCAGATCTGGTGAAGGACCTGTAGAAGGGTAGCATTTACCACAGTGAAAAAATACATGTCTCAGTAACAGCAGCCTTTTAAACACAAGAAGTTTTAAAGTCAGTAAGATCAATTTGGAAGTATAAATTAAAATTGGAGTAAGACATCTCCTTAGTTGGGTGAAATAGTGAGAGCTATAAGAATATAGCTTGCCCAGAGAACCTGAGTAAAAATGTTTTCCCTCCCTCCTCAACATTTCCCAGTACAAATGGTAAATGGCAGAGAGAATCTGATTAGAGTTATGAACTTCTTAGATAATACATTTATATGGGTACCTCTTAGGATTTTAATTTTTAGTTGACATTTTATTTACAGAACCTTTCTCTGGTTAAGATTTTCATCCAGGAGCATTTATTGGATCAGAAAGACAAGGTGTATCACAGGAAAATATCCTTAAGGGAACTCACATCACTCTCACTACGAGAGGAGGAAGAGTCTGCTAATATGCCTAATTCTTTCTCTTAGGATTTCGTTACTTCATGATGTGAAGAAGATCCCTACATTCATGAGTTTATTTTTGGACAAACGTAGATATTAGATTTTTAGAGGATAACTCTAACCGCTAGAGACTTCCTTGAGGACTTAGGTGAACCAACTTATTACCTTTGAAATCTCAGTTCAGACACAAAAGACCCCAAAGCCATAAATGGCCTTCAAGGCACAGTTACCCTTTCTGTATCCAAATAAAATTAGTTGATCGGAAGCAGTTCTGGCAAAACATATCACCTGCTGCTTCAAAAAATGTATATGCTTATTCTTTTAACTTAGACTCCTTTTTTTGTCTGGGAAGGAAGTGTTCAGTCAGCATTTGTATTGCGGCTATGTAGGAAACCCTCTCCTTCAGAATCACCCCCAGAGTGAAGGAAAGAGTTAGAAATAATACGCTAATTACATGTATGAAGGGTGGCAAGTAGCAGCAGGTAGATGGTTCATGACTGTCCTAAATAATCATTTTAACAGAAGCCAAAAGGGCAGATATAACATTACTTCATTTTGCAGTAAAAGAACCCTCATATTTAGCAGGGACACAGCTAAACCCCAGTGCTCCGGAAAACAAATCAAATGCCTGCACAGGAAGGAAAACTTCTCACATATCTTATCCCAGGAAGAGAAAAAAAAAAACAGACAAATGCGACATAACCAAAATGGCAGGAGTCGTTTCAGTTGTGGTATTTACCTCTAGCTGACAAGCATCTTTTAATAAATCTAATTCTGCAGAAAGCTTTTTTATCTCAAATTGCATTCGTGCTTCTAGCTGAGCTT